AAAAGCTCAGAGGCCGGAAAGCACGAATGTAGAGGTGAGAGTGGTAAAGGGTTGTAGAGATATAGATGAGTAAAGATAAACCCACTTCAGCATGGATCAAATAACTGTACTTCAAAACCTCGGCGAACCAGAAGCTCTCCTGGAAGTTGGAGAACCCCCCACCGTCCTTCTTGGTCACGTCCCTGATGCTCGAGTAACCACTGCCGACCGCGCAGGTCTTGTTGACGGCCAGGAACGCCTCCCACGCCCACTCCTGGTATTTGGGGTCGCCCGTGGCGCGGTAGGCATAGTAGATGCTCTCGATGACCTCGGGGCGCAGCACATAGGACGGGACGGTGGACCAGAAGCCCGAGACATTGTAGAAGCTGGACTGGTTGAGCGGCGGCCCGGCGTTGTTGCTCGCGTTGAGCGGCGTGCGGTTGTCCCGCCACTGGAACACCTCGGGCCCGATGCCGGTCGCCGTCGAGACGTACGTGTTGCGGCAGGCGTCGACGAGCTTGAGGCCGAACTTTACGTACCGCGGCTCGTCGAGGGTGAGCCCGCCGAGGATAAAGTTGCCGCCGCTGAAGCAGGCCACTTTAGAGAAGGGAGGTAAGTATACTGTTTTTTTTTCTTCTTCGTTCGGCTGAGGGAGAAAGGAGCAACACGGATTCGAGATTCGACAAGAGAAGCCTTCTCTACCTCGGTTGCGGTTTGGTCCATTTCGACGCAAATTCAGCACATGATAGGGGCAGCGAAGCATAAACAACGAGGGCCAACTCACAGTGCTCAGAAGTAAACTGCAGCGTCCTGTTCTGGTACATGGCGAGATACGTAAGATCGGGTCGCGTGGTCGGGTTTGACGCCAGGTACTTGATGCTCGACTCGACGGCCACTACCCATCGATCCTTGTACTTGGCAAATCGTACGGGGTCATACAGGTACATCTTGATCAGATACTCGTAAAAGCTGTCGTCGCCGCCGCCCCAGCCGCCAGAGCCGTCAAGAAATCGGCCCGTTGCTATATCCACGTTCGTTCCGAGGAGGCCGGGGAATGGTTCCCCCAGCTTTGGCTTCGGGTCCAGCAAGTACGACTCGCCTTTCTGGGCCAGCAGCCCGTAGGCCGTGTTTCCAGTCAAGTCGCTGAGGCGCTGCCATTCCAGAATCAGCGTGCCGATTGTCGCAATGCCGTTGTTCGTTGACCCTGCCTTCCGTGGAGGGCTGAAGCGGACGGTGTTGTCCGGGATTCCGGTCTCCGTAGTGAAGGCAACTTTGAGATTATCAGCCAGCCGGTTGGCCTGCTTGAGAACGTTCTTTACGTTGGTCGTGTTGAGTTTTTGAGTGCCGTTTAGGGGGCCAGTCAACAGGTCGTAGGCTATCGCACAAAGAGGGTTAGAAGGGGCATTGTAATCGCTGCGACAAGATGATGAGGATTACCAGACAGCATCCCACCAAGATAGCGAATGGTGGTCTCAAATAACGAAACGTCAGTGGTGGTATTGCTGAAGTCAATCGTCGGCACAAAGTTCAAGATCTTCTCCACGACCGGCCAGTCTCCCATCACAAGCGCTGTGCTGAACGCGTCGATAGCACTTGCCCCCCATCCGTTTCTGAAGTAAAAGGGGTATATTAGCCACTAAAAGAATAAGCATAATCATAGCGGGCATGCTAAGACCAAGCTCGGAGGCAGACAAACATGAACTGAACAAGCATAAAGCTGCAAAGTAAGAGCATTAAAGAACAAGCTTACCTGTCGTCGGAATACGTATTCGTCACCGGCCGTAGGGAGTCGTGCGGGAAGGCATATTTATAGTATCCGTCCCAAGAGATCTGGAAAGCTTGCTTCACAGCGTTGGCTCGACCCGCATTCGCGACGTACTTTGGCGCGTATGCACTGCGTGGGGGAGGCGTTGCTTTGGCATGGCCCGCAAACCCCAGAAGAGCCACCACACAGGCTCCAGAAAAGTACATGACGGTAGTTTCCGCACCCTCGAGCGGAGGGGCTGCGTCACGAGAAAACGGAGGGTGGGGAGGGGCACGTGCAGAAGCTTGAAGAGCGGCGAGATGAATAGATAGTCGCGAGGAAGAGCGGCCGAGGATCAAGATGATATACTTTGAATGTGAGCCTGAGCGGCCGAATTCCCGGGCAAGACATATTGGCGCCCATAGCCCGGGCAGAAGCCAGATGGAATGAGCATGTCATCTGAAGTACCGCCATGGCTGGGATAATGCATGTGCCTTGCAGCATGCAATGCCATGGACTTCACCTTGGAGGCAGCTAAGGCAGGCAGGAAAAGGTAAATAAAGCGGTGGCACCGACGGTCAGGACAGGACGAGGTACGTGGTGATTGACTTCTTGCTAGATCAAGGGATGAAGCTTTAGGCCTGCTGAGTGTCGATCCTTGACCGTTAAGACATCATCCACCAAGGCTCATCTGCAGGACGGCTAGTCATGATTGGATGACAGCCCCTGAGACCTGCCTAAAGAAGCAGCTCCGATTGCTCTGGGAGGTGGCATGAACCATTTCCACTTGACCAAGTGATCAGGCTCACGGCGTTGGACGGTTGCAACGAAGTGATGTTGTGCCGTCGTCTGACCTCTACCCAGCTGCGGTGCGGCCATGATGGTAATATACGCGGTCGTTGATACAGCTCGTCGACGGGATATAAACAACCTGAAATCGGTGGCACTGCAACATTCCACGCTGGGCGTTGAATGGAGCTTCCTCGGAGGGATATCGAGTGGCTTTTGTGGCTGCATGGGAAGTCGGGGACTACCGACTACTGCAGCTCCGCTCGTCATCAACCTGGCGGACCCAGGTTCACGGATGATGGCTGAATCTAAACGGATAAAGTCAAAGATGTTCTTCCAGCTGTGATAGGCTTACTCGGGTATTGACATGAGGGATGGAAGAGACCGCCAGCCACCCGCTCGCTGATATCCTGTTGGCGATCCCTGCACGCATTGCAACATGTTAAGCCACCTTCGGGTCGAGGGTTACAAATGCCGAAGCCTTACTGCTGGGGTAAGGCAGCACGAGTCCCCCACCCACGGGCTGTGTTCCCGTGGAGGGCGATATGCAGCCAACCGTCGAAGATGCGATGCGACGGTATACTGTGTAATGTGTTTTCTGAGCACGAGGCAACCACATGGCTGCTAACTTCCGCCTGCAATGAATAACGCCTCTACGCAAGGCAAGCGCCCTGGTAGCATGTTACCCCGTAGGAGATAGATTGATCTTGCTTTTTAATCTCCTCGAGCACCGCATGGCCGCGTTGCGGTTCGATTGTAACAACTTGGTGGCATCCGTTTACTGCAGAACCACACAGTCGACAGCTGAAGACATGCGGTGGAAGAAGAACGTGGCGACGATTTCTTGGACGAGCACCTCTATCCGCCTTGTCTTAGCTTGGCCAAAGCTGCGGCTATGCCACCACTGAGCTGCTCTTCTTGATTAGATGCGGAAACACGCGAGCGTTGCTTGGGCTCTTTGCTCGACGCGGCAATCTCGTTATCATCCTGGCTGTCGGATTCGGCTCCTTGCAGCAAAGTTGCATCTCCAGTACTTCGTGAAGTCTTCGTTCCTGTCACGTCCGTCACGCGAGCCTTTCCTATTGGAATGGCGTCTTCCAGTACAGCGGTTCGTAACCTGGCCGACGAGCTGATGGTGGTGTCGCTGCCTGGATTTCTGACGCCGCGCTTTGCGGCCTTTTTTATTCGGAAAGGCTGCTCGACTGCTTTGCACCAGCTCTTGACCTTCTTCTCTCCCCAGCCGCCAACGATGGAGACCTGCTCTGGGTCCGCATTGATGGCGTGCTTGAGGCTGCCAAAGGTGCTGACCAGGGCGACAGCATCGGCTTTGTTGATGCCCCGTGGGACCGTGACAAGCTCAACCAGCTTCTCGGCGTAGCTTGTCGCCTGCTGGCCGCGGATTGCCGCGAAGTTTGCGTGCTCGTAGGATTTGTACAACTCGAGATAGCGGGCCGCCTCTGCCGCGGACCAGCAAAGAATGACGGTGACGTTGTTGACCAGCGAGGTCTTGGACAGCTCCCGGAGTGAGTCCTCGTGGTTGGAAATGTCCACCATGGTGAGTAGGATACGAAGGTTGTACTTCCCCTGGAGATTGCGGATGCGGGTGTAGATGTACTCTGGATGAAGCCGGTGATACTTCAGACTGCCAGGGGGAAGGAAATACGAGGATTCCCAGTTACTCTTCGCCGCACTTCCATATCCCTTGATGCGGAGGACTCACCTCAGGAACAGAGCACAGGTGGTCAACCCCAGACCATAATCCGCAGGGATATCGCTGTACTCCCACGGCATCGACTTGAGACACGCGATGACGGGATTGCCTTTCTGCCGGGGCGACACCAAGATGGACGAGCCGGAGGAGCGAGATGGTAGTGCTTGCGGAGCGGGCTGCACAATCTTGGGGCCTGCGGTGGTGGTGGTCGTAGGCGGCGCTCTATCGAGCCGTTGGGGCGTCGGCTGGTGGATCGCTTGATGGGACGAAGCTGCAGCTGACGCCTCGAGGGCCGCGAGAAAATCCGCATCTTCGCCATAGTCGTCATCCATCTTGCCAAGTGGTGGTGCAGATGCTCAGAAAATGTGCTCGACGTTGGCTCGGAGGAGAGAGATGAGAGCAGAGGTGGTCACGACCGACAGGAACGAAGTGAAGGGAGCCAGGCAGGTGGTCAGTTGTAGATTTTAAAGATCGGATGGCTGACGGATGAGTGAGTGACTGGCAGACAGTGAGCCAAGACGGGAGCAGGCAGACAGACAGCTGGGGCGGCAAAGGTGGGGCAACATGGAAGCTTTGGTTGGCCGCGGGGTTGATCAAGGTAGGCGTGGTCAGCAAGCCTTGGCGTCAATGACCCCTGCCTGAGACTCGAATGGCCTTGTTCATTCATAACGTACTACAGGTATAGAAGGGCAAAAGAGAGGGCAAATGCAACGACAGGAGTCCATCAAAGAAATCAAAAGCCCTTGGTTGATTGGGATTTTAGGCAAAAAGAAAACGCACCCGACGTGGGACTCGAACCCACAGCCTCAAGATAAAGCGATGGAATCACTCGTATAGAAGTCTTGCGCGCTACCATTGCGCCAGCCGGGCATCGGCTTATCATTGGATGATAAGCTGCGCCGGTTTTTAGCCTGTTATTGTCAGGCTCTGCCGTGCCCTGTCGACGGCCTGCCAGTTGAGCCAATCACAATCTTAGCAAATGGGCCCATTTAATTATGACCCCACCACCCACATCACCACCACGAGCTCCAGGTTGTCCTGTGCACGTCATCCTGAAGCGAGCTTCTTCCCTGAGCTCCGCGAAAGCTCCCGACAGTTGACATCAACGCAATCGACAGCGGTACCGACTCGGAACAGGAAATTCTTGATCGCCGCTGGAAACCGGCCTCTCGCGCACAATGGACGACGGAGACAAGACTGGCCGTAACCCGCTCCAGGAGCACCGCGAGGCCCTTTTCCCCAAACACACGGCGCGCCTCCCGTCCAGCGTCGTCGTCGCTGAGAACGCGAAACAGCTCGGCATCGACTTCGAGACTCTCCCGAAGTTGCCGGGCTGGACATTCATTTACGGCTACACTGACAGGTGGCACCGAGCCCACATCACGGCCCGGTGCATGGCCATGGCCGCCGTTCTCAACCGCCCCCTCGAGCAATCCGAAACAAACGCCATCGCCCAGCATGCTGCCGAGCGCAACCGGATGCTCTCCAGGGAAGTCGTACCCGTGGCTCTTCCCGCCATGTTCTTCTATAATCGAGGCACCGACACCTGGAGGTTCCCGTTCAAAACCCCTAACCCGGCCACTTTCAACCCCGACGTCTTCCCGTTGCAGAGGTTTCCCTTGCTGGTCGGTGAATCTGCCCGTAACAGCTGGTCGCTGATGCGCTTTGGGGCCTACGTCTTGCTCAGCCACACCATTGTCGGCACCGCCTTGCGTATAGCCCTCGACGTAAGGATGTTGAAGAATGTTCAGGAAGACCCGGCACTCGGGGCTGTGAAAGAAGCGATCGCGGACATTATCAGGCAACAGAAAAGGGGCCCTGCTGGACGTCTGACGAGAGGGCCCCGCCCAGCAGTTGATGAACGCACACGGTCTGCAGAGCCGAAGGAGGATGGGTCATCTGGTTTCTCCAGGCCGGATAGTGACGCAGCCTCCTTTGGGGCACAGGACGAGCAGGCGGCTCCAGAGTCCCCGGCGGCAGCTCGGAGCAAATGGCAGCCTCAGCAGCAACATCAGAGACAATGGCGTCCGCAGGGAACCGCGCCTCCGCCGCCGGCACCATCCGCAGCGAAGGACGACGACGACTTCCTCTTTGACGATGCCTCCCCTACTTCACCCTCCGCGCAACGACCCGCGGGCTCTCCGGCTCCGTCTGCCGGCGGCAGCGGCGGCTCTGCCTGGGAAAGGCTCAGACAGCGCGGTAAGACGGACGATGATTCTGGAGCGCAAGACGAGCAGACAGGCGCGGAGCAGAGCTGGGCAGAGCGCCGTCGCGCCCAAGGCTCACAGAACGCCGACGCGTATTCCTACTCGCAGGCGGACCAGGACAAGGCGTATGCGAAGGAGCAGGCCCAGCGCGAGTTTGACGCCATGCTCGAGCGGGAACGCCGTGGTCGGTCGAATGATACTTAGGTTGAGCTACGGGGCGTTTGTATTTGTATGTGCGAATGTCTTTCAATGGACACAGCACGGGGCAGGGCTTGCTTTTATTAGGAGGGGAATACGGATGTCGTTATGTGTGTGCCTGCGTGCTTTTATGCCGTTGGGCGCTGTACTCTGTCTCATCTGGTTGACGTAAATACGTATATCTATTAGGTAAATCTTTCTGCCAGCCACATATCGAATGCCTGCTCTTTCTGGTGATCTTCAGTGTTAATCTCATGTTGTCTTTGATCCTCCAATTCCGTGACCACTATAGTTATTTTCGCGAGTATTCATTCTTTGCCACTTATAACCCTAGATGCTGGACTCAGGGTTCTAGGCTAGCGGATCGGTAAGGCCGCCGATGATCCCACTACCTACTCAGTCAACGACGACGAGTCATGGTCAAGTTTCTCTCATTTATATCAGTGCCCGATTGAAAAAAGAAAAAAGTTCTGGGTAGTTTGCATTTATTATAGCCATGTCAACCGTTCGTTTCATCTCCCGCATCGACATTCTGCGCCAACTCATTAACGTCTCTGAGTCAGGTGTTGGACCGAGGTGCTAAGACTCTCATGTGAGGTGGGTAGGGTGATCAGTTGAAGGTCTCCGCACCTTTCCGGAGTGGCAGGGGGGGTTGGAGTCTGGGGCATTGAAAGATGAGAACGTGATTGCCACGCGCTGTGAGATTAAACTCTAAAAGATAAGTGACCATTACAAACCTCAAAAACTGCCGTCACGTCCTTCCATGACCATTTACAGAACATCCGCCAGCTCAGCTTGCTAGCTTCCATCAATCATGGGACACGTTGTTGGCTAGTGACCTACAGACACTACCTGGTACCCACCTCCACAAATCCAAGGCAGCGGAAGCTCGATCTTCAACGGCAGGCGCTCCGCTCACTAAGCTGCGGGTTATGTCAAGCTGACCCCCAGACGCCACTTGTTAAGTCAGGTATTAAGCTTCCATGTTCTTCAGCGCACCGATTCCCGCAGTCAAGTCGCCTGCCAGTTGGCACCAGGCCAACGATGCAGGTGCTCAATGCCAGCGATATTATAGCCCAGCCTCGATGTCATATTTCTGCATCCCGGGTCCGCCAATGACTTGCGTCATGCGAGTAATGCCATCACCAGAAAAGCCCAGGGACCCTCCCTACTAGAACCCAGATCTAACCTCCCCGACACGTTTTTCTCAAAGCTTGGTAACGTGAATGATTCAAGTTTTCCCCATAACTCGAAAACATGATGGGCAAGGTTGGCTGGAGCTGCACTGCACCGTACCTTTCTTCCATGAAAAGGAGACATAGGAACATCATCCCACCACCAGCCCGCCCTGTCTGGCCCTGCAAAAGCGTAAGCTGGTGTAGATCCTGTTTTTCTGGCCCGTCAGTTCTAGAACCCACTGCATACGGGCGGCATACGATACGGGCGCGCACTTGCGATCCATGCATAAGGCGTAGCGGTGCAGGGTACTGCGAGCTGAGGTGGTAGTGTGAGGTCCCCTCCCACGTCATCTTTTTTTCTTTTCCCCAACTCTCCAACCCACACCCCAACCCGCGCTCATCACGGTTCTCAGCCTGCTTTGCTTATAAGTCATATTGAGCCTTTTGCCTTCACCCGCCGCCCTCCCCCGTCGACGCACTCACTCATCTTCCGCGATATATCATTGCTGTCCTCCTCACACTTTCACAACCGCGTTCCCTGAGTGCCTAAACCGGCAACTCGGTATATAAACAAATGGAACAACCAACAAAACCGTCCTCATTGGCCGCGCCCAGGCCGCGGAGGAAGCTCCAGAAAAGCATCACCAAGCAAAAAAACTTTATCGCGAGACGGCTCGGCCTGGACACGTCCAATGATCTTCCCCCAGATAATAAATCTGACACCGCAAAACTCAACAACAACAACAACAACAAGAACAACAACACAATGCCCCGTCAGCCCCTGCCGCACCCGCTCCCAGTCGCCCCTGACCTAAGCGACCCCAAATGGTCCGAATACATCCGGGACAGCGGCAGCCACTACGCGCTGGCCTCATCCACGCAGCAGCAGTCTGAAAACCCGCCGTCCCCCGCGGCCATAATCCCCGAGCTCTCCCACCTCGCTCTATACGATGGCCAACCCCCCCCCACCTCCTCCACCTCCTCCTCCTCCACCTCCTCCAACTCTCCCTCAACACCATCCACAACCACGATGCGCCGCCGCGCCAAGACGCCCATCTTCTCCATCTACCAGCTCGAAGAGATCCCGCGGCCCGGCAACGCGCTGGCGTCAGACAAGCGTCTCAGCGCCGAGGTCATAGCCGAGCAATACCGCGCCCTGCTCGACTCGCGCAACTCCATGGCCCGCGAGACGTACCCTGACGACGACGATGCAATCCATCTTCGAAGAAACATCCACACGCCCGAGAGCACGACCCGCCCGCTGACGGGCTCCTCCTCCTCCTCCTCCTCCTCGCAGCATCCCACCACCTCCCCAACATCCTCCGACGGCACGCTCGTCGCCTTCGACGACGAGACCGTCTATTTCAAGCCGGTCTCCTTCTCGCCCGAGCCGATATCCCCGTTCTTCGACCGGCGCTTCCCGACCACCAGCCCTCCGCCCACCCCCAACCTCGGCCTACAGATATGTCTGGACCTGCTCACGCGCGACCTCTCCTCCAGCCTGCGGCGCAGCGGGCGCAACCGCGGCTGCGTGGAGACGTCGGCGTTGCAGGTCTGGGCCATGATCGAGGCGTACGAGCGGCTTCGCGACCAGCTCCCGGACACGGAGGCGAGGCTGGGCCGCGACGAGCAGAAGTCGCTGGATCAGATGCTGGATCTGTGGCTGCGCGCGCTGTATGCCGTCCATGACTCGTTGACGGGCGATGGGAGGACGAGCGAGAGTGATTATGGGGGCGAGTTGGACGTGGAGGATTTGGATTAGATGTCTCGGCATGGGATGGGATGGGATTTGTCATACTTTGGTGTTTGGGTTCGGTTTGGTGGATAGGCGTGTGCTTGCTTGCTGGTATGACGGCGTTTTGATTTAAGCGGGCTTTCTGGTGAAGGCGCTCTTAGGAGCCAGGCGGTTATGGCAGACATGATGTAACGAGAGACGACGTATGAAAGTATGGGGCGCACACGCAGTGGCGGGTGCAAAGAGCGGACTAGATATACCCTTTAATACTCACCGTCCCACCTTTAACTCACATTTGCAGACGGGCAATGTGGAACGGGACAAAAATTCATGTTGATTTTGAGATATCGTACAGGATGCCATCGTTGCCCTGCGGACCGACCTCCTTTAGCCGGACCCCCGATTTGTCGGTGTCGATGCGTTTGCAAGAGGCATACGTCGTTGCCGCTCAACACCGCGAGCTTCCCCGGGCTGGCATCAAGCCTCGGCCTCGTTAGCAAACGAAAGGTAGCGGTGGTAGAAAACCTCAACACCCGCCAGCCTCATTCGCAA